TGACGAAATAGCCAATGCATTAGCGACCCAATACTCCAGAGCCAGTGACACAAACAGCTATCCTAAAGTATCAAAATCAGTTGTTTCCGGGCTTGAAGGCCGTGGTTCAATTAAGTATAATCACAACTATTTTCAAAACGCGCGCGAGAAAGCAATAGCAGCGCTTTCTTTACTAGGATAGTGACCGAGGAAACAAAACTTTGTTCCCCTCTTTATAAGATTGAGTGAACCGGCCCAAGCTAAAAGTCTCTATTAAACACTATCAGATTGTTATGTGCGACACGAGGCGTTCGTAGCACATGTAACTATAGTTTCATAATTTTATTATGTCATTACATCATTTACGCAAGATGTAAATAATAGTATTTACATCACGTTACTAAGCATAAATTCGGAATGTTCACGTCTTTTGTCTCCTGTTGTCATTTTGCGTTGACAATTGACAAGCCTTGACAAATGAGTAGCGAAAGCTTGCAACGACGAAGGTGGAGTGGCCGTGGGCCAGGCTATGCTTTTGCAGGCTAGATGCTTTACTTTTTATATCACTTTAGCAATCTAATTAATTTCGATTGAACTGAATTTGAATAAACGTTTGCGTTAAAAATGTATGCTAAAAGTTTTGCATCCTTTTTGAGGAAATGGAGCAAATTACCAAGTAAGGTTATGTGGCAAAACAGTATTAGTAAACCTACTTAACTATTATAAAAGTGTTGCTGTGGGATTTTCCAGTTGCGCTCCAATCTCGAGGATTCTGTTCGTCAAAGCCTGTCTGTGCTAAGGATGTGTGGGATTTGTTATGTGCTGTTTGCTTAGAAAGGAGGCCTACATTAACTACCCAACTCACAGATATGGAAAGCAAATTTCAAAAGTTACTTCAAGATATAGAATTCGAAAATAGTTATAAATCTGATTATGAAGTTAGAAAAGAAAAAGAAAGGTTGTTTTTTTAATATGAAATTCAGCAATTTGTCAGTACAACATGATTTTTGAGTGATTATTAACTTGAAATACTTGTATAAACAATTTTAGGAAACAAGCTGAGCTGTTAAAAAAAGGTGAATTAGATTCTGATGCAGATGTTACTGTAAAAACTGCCCAAGATCTTGAGGATGCATACCAAGACGAATTTTCAAAGTTTCAGTTTGCAGCAAGACAAACTGGTAAGTATTTCAAGAAATATTTAATTTTTGATCTTGCAGAACTATGGTTTTTTAATTCTAATTTCAAGGACTTCTATTAAGAGGAATTTATAATTTTATGTCTTAACCGTATATGTAACTTGCATCATCAGGGTGCCACTTTCTGGAAAATGCAGAAGAGAAAACACAGGGAAATTCAATTCCAGAAAAAATACATTAAAAAGTTCTCATGTTCAAAGAATTGATTGTCAATGAAGAATTTGAGCAAAGATTATTGACGGATATTATTATGATACAATTATTTATAAGAAATTGTATTAATTTTAACGATCATTTTTAAATAACTATTTAAAGTTAATTACGTACTTTTTTCAGAAACTAACAAATTACACAATACTCTATAAAATATTGTCTAACGGATTTGAAAATTCACGCTTAGTAAAAACTGTAACGCTACAAGTTCTGTAAACGTTATGTGAGACACACAGCCAATGATTCTAAATTTGCTTCGATGTGGTTGTGAAATTTGTGTGCATGTCGCTTATTATAGGATGCACACATTAGGGCTACAACAACTGGCATTTGATGACGTTACTTTAAACTGCAGGTGGAGAAAGAATGCCATCATAGTCGACCGAGACATGCTAAGCTATGCTCTTGGGGGCCTGAGCTAAGGAGAAAAATTTTATTGAAGAACGAAAGTGACAGAAAATGGAATTAGAGAAACAGTCGGTATGAGAGAGAGAGAGCAGAAGAGAAAGGCTGAGGAATTGATAACGCTGAATAAAGAAAAAGAATTGTGCATTAAGCAAATTCACCTCGAAATGAAAATTAAAACATTGAAGGAAAAATGATGAAAAAGACATTTAATAAAGATCAGTGATTTTGTTATTGTTTTTAGATGTGATCAAAGAAAATTATAGTTTATGAAAAATTACAGAAATATATTAAATTAAATAAATATATGCTTTAAACGTGAAATGCAGTGAGAATTCTCTATTTATTCAAAATTATAATTATAATAAAATAAATAGTGCAGTTATGTAAGTGAGAGAATGGTATACGTAACACAGGAAAAAATGATGATAACTTAGAGAATGCTCAGGGAAAATAATTTTTGTTACCAGCGGTCACCCTGTTCAATGAAGCTTGATTTTTCTATTCACTGTCCATTTGTTGTGAAAGATATCAGCCTCATAATGATTTGCTTTTTGACAAATCATTTGAATAGCTAATGGCATAGATGGAAAAACACTTTTGTGTAGACACCAGGTGATACCTTCACACAGTGTGGTGTGGTAATGTCAGTGATGAGGTGCTCCTGCAGGCTACTAGTCATAATTAATTTCTTATTAAAACATTTATAACATTCTCATACATTTTCTGCTACATTCATTTTATACCTTGGTTCATTTTCATCGTGCACTTCTGCCATTTCAAAATGTGGCACTACTACTGTAGAGTTAAAGAAACATTTATGATGTTATTATTTAAATGTTTATTTACATCTTGATATGGTTAATAATGAGTTTCTTGGAAACAACAGAAGACAATTTAAACAATTTAAATATTTTGTGCTCTTATGGCTTTTAGTTTTAACTTGTATTGTTCTGTTCTTGTGAGACTCTTCTGTTTGGTAATCGTAAACTCTTTTATTCATTTTGAAATCTATTCAGCATAATTTTTGTAGAATGCTTGCAACTAGATTAAATTTACCTGATCCTATTTTGGGGTATTACTAAACTGCTATTTGTGTTATTTCTGTATATTCAGTTAGACAAGCTAGTGAAGTAAACTTTCTGTTTAATAACCTTCTGGACAAAATTATGTGTTTTAAGAAACATAAAAAATAATAAATCTCTCAGACCTGGAGGTACATCCATAGGAACTTGTTAAACATTATCCTATTGTAGCTTTGGAATTACAGTAAACCCTCATTAACCCAAATTGAGGACGAATTTAGTTCTAATTGCCCAATTATGCAAAAGATAAATGTTTTTGGAATGGGTACCATCGTGGACTCTTGGGAGTCTGTTTGTAGTTGGTGCATGTGAGGCAATGGAAATTTGAGGAAGAGTGGGGATGCTGGGAGTTGGGTGGGGGCTGCATGCTCTTATAAGGGATTTGTTCGACTGAGTCTGAGGCTATTAACTAAGCTAAGAATACTGACCCTTTTGTCTGATTTCATAAATTACTGCTTCATTTGCTAGAAATATTTTTTAAAAAAATCTAATTTTTGCAGGAACACAATTGGTTCTTCTGTTATCAATGTAAAATTTGCCTTGTATAGGATTGAAATCTCGATACATGCAAATCAGTGGTACTCTGCATGCCATAGTTTTCTACATTCAAGAAATATTTTGAAAATGTATGTTATAGTTCGAGCATACGTGCCACCCTTCCTAATTCACAACCCACCGGCTGCCACTGATATTGATAAAGCCTTGAAAGGACAGAAAAGAAAGTGTAGAAATATGGATGTGAAAATGAGTTTATCCTGCTATTCTCAGACAACAAGTTGATAGTAACTGAAGATGAAGTTGATGAAACATATATGTAGTTAATTAGTAGAAGAGTATGGAAAATAGGAAATAGAAATAAATGCACAAAAGACTAAGATTATGATGGCGGAGTGGGTGTATGCCTATGATTTAGAGACTAGTATAGGAATAGTTATAGGTAATGCACAATATAAATATTTGGGAGTAACACTAGCAGCAGATGGTAGAGACGTGCACGATATGGAAAATAAAAATAGAAGAGGAATAATAACCACAAGACAGTTAAATCCAATGCTATGGAACTCAATTATTTCACTAAAGACAAAGAAAAACATATATAGTTCCTTCATAGAGAATACAATACTCTATGGGGCAGAAATCTGGACACTAACAAAAAAAATGTGAGACTAACCTCAAGCAACGGAAATAACGTTCTGGCAAAGATGTACACTTTCTCTATTAGAGAAAATAAGAAGTAAAATGAAAGTGCAGACAACCTTGAATGAGAATGGTTGAAGGGAAACAACTAAAATGGTATGGTCATATGAGAAGGTTGAAATCAGATAGACATCCCCAAATGTTTGAGAATGGATACCCAGTTGAAGAAGACACAGGATAATACCAAGGACATGGACCATGGCAATATCTGTAGCAATGGGAAAAAGAGAAATGGAGGAAAAAGATGTGGGGATAAAGAGACATGGAAATTGAGATGCATAAAAGAGCTGAGACTGTAAAACAATGCTACGTAGATGGATAGACAAAATTATGTTCTGCTTAATGTCAAGTTTTGCAACTACTAATTCTTTGTACTAATTCTTTAACTTTGTGAGTATATAAAACAGTGTGTAAATATGTCATCTTAAAATTAATGTATTTTCAACCGTGCACACATAATCTTCACATGATTCTTAGAAAAGTTCATGATTTTAATTGATGTGATATATACTATGTATTTTCTTATTCCAAACCTTGTTGAACGATGCCATTCTTTTGATGTTTTACTATTTTATGGTTTTGATTTGGTCAGTGTACACAAAGGACAAGATCCATACATTTGATGAATGAATAGTTAAATAAGTTAATAGACTAAATAAATAAATATGTCAACTCGCTGAGAAAATTTTCTTGTCTACCATGCTACTTCAAAAACAATAACAGATCTTTAGACTACCCTCATGAAATAAAACGAATACTTTCTATTACTTGGAATTACCTTCCCCTAAAAAAATCAGTGATTATGAAATGTTGATCAAAATGAAGAAACTGGACTCAACAAAGGGCTGATGATCTGTGGAAATTCCACCAGCTTAATTGAAGCATTGCAGAGATATAGTTACTCCACCTATTTGTAAAAATATTTAATTGCTTATATGATTTTGGTAAAGGCATCATTTAGAACTGTTTGTCAGAGTTTTCTTGGATGTGGTCAATGACTGTTGCTGAACCAATAAATTACAACTAACTTCATATCATAGAGGTATAGGTAATTTGATCTGAAAATGAGGTCTTGAGTATTGAAATTTTGTTATAATTTTGAAGTATTGTGTTTCTACTCTAATACCATACATCAGTACGTTGTAATCATGATGTTAATGTTGAAAGTAATGAGCCAGTGTTTGTAGTCCATGGAGTTAAGAGGGGGATCATGTATGTTATATTTTGTCAAGTGTTTGAATACTTTCTTGAATGAATTTATCATATATTTTCAAACTGAGAAAAAATGGCACTTGCATGAATTATTTGCATATCTTTTATTAAAGATATTTATGAATAACCTCAAATATTTACCCAACATCCACAGATGAATTTACAAATTAATCTTCCCCTGTTTGGAATAATTAGCCAATGTTCCTGGAGTTTAGTTCTGACTATATTTGTTGGTAAAGTTGAAATATTGTGTTTTTCAATTCCAGATTGTGATAAAAGGAAAGATTTGAAATCATTGGATAGAGCTCTTGATAAATATCTAGTTCTAGTAGTAAATCAAAAAATTGGAGATGATTATAGGTGGATATTGCCCCAAGGATTGAGAGAGAATGGAGAAACTATGCGCCAGGTTAGTAGTGATATATTTCAGCAATGTGCATTTATTATTTTCCCTCCCTCTATTTGGCAAGTACCTTTGAGTTTGTCATTGCACAGTTGATACAAAAAAGTAAAAAAATATAAATACTGAATTTATTACTTTAGTCTTGACATCTTTATAAGGAATCTCTGTGTGTGATGCAAATGTTGTTTAAAACAAAGATGGAATGGTTTTATGCTTTAGAAGTAGAATAATTTAAGAAATATTTTTTAATACATTTATTTTTATTTAATCTGTGAAACATTTAATAAATAATGTTTCAAAATAGTTTGTAATGAGGATGGATGACAATATAACTAATAAATAGTTTTGTCTTGCAAAATTCCAGACTGCTGAACGAGTCCTTGCAGAAAGGTGTGGTACAAAACTGCAAGCTACATTTTTGGGTAATGCTCCTTGTGGTTTCTATAAATACAAATACCCACAGTCTGTTCGATCGTCTAGCAAAGCAGTTGGTGCCAAGGTGAATTAAAATATATTTTTTAAAATAATATTTTACATTACCTGAAACAACGTAGTTATTTAATTATTACTAGGGCCCAGATAATAATGTTATTACATATTTTCCAAAGTAACTGTCAAGTCAAATCAACAGTATATTCATGTTTCATATGGGTTAGTGCCTTAAAACGTTGACTTTTTAGTGAATATATTGATATATTGTACCCAAAAGTGTGTGTATGTATGTGTATA